TTGCCTGTAGCAAACTAAATCTTTGTTTTGACCCACTTTCACTTGTCAGATTTTGATAAAATTTAGCTTTTTGGAAAGCCTATGACATAAGGAAACGGATTGCACAAGTTTCGCGAAAAAAAAATTGCAAATTTTTTGCAAACAACCGGTCAAAGGAAATTTGCACATTTTTAGTTTTTCTTGATTAAAAATCAACTTATTTAAAATTTTGCAAATTTTTTTGCATATTTGAAATGGCATGGTCAAGGGCTTTTCAAAAATGTATAATTTTTTATTTTTTGGACAAATTTTTGCTGCAAACATTTTTACTTTATAACTGGATTTTGCGATAAAAAATTTAATTTTTGCAAATTTGCAATTTTTTTGCAGATTCTTAAAGTAGAGCACAAGAGCTTTCTAATGATGTATCATTTGTCATATTTTGACATAAAACATGGGATTTAGAGGGGGGGGTCAAATTGACCCCCCCCAGCATATCCTGGTTTTCAAGTACCCCAGCAGGGATAGGGTTAATGGATACTCTGTAAATCCTGTAAATGCAATAATTTATAATTTGTATTTTGTAATTCCAATTGCAAAATTTAGTTTCAATCAACTAATCAAATTTTACAATTTGAAAATATTCCGCGGCATATTTTTTATAACGCGCAACAGCAACTGTCAATAGAATTATAGAAACATAATCGTATTTAAACGGATACGGGTCGGCCCTAACTTAAACATTATGTTTGACGTTAAAACAAGGAAAAATTATATCTGAAGCTTGCATTTAGAGGCAAATAGTAATAACGTTAATTTATAAATCAATAATTGTCATACAGGACTGCCGGGAGAAGGATTAATAGTTCTGCAGCTGCTAAATAAGTTTTTTTCTTTTCAGTGTGAAGATGGAAGCGGAAACCCTTGAGGTTGAACAGAGAATTAAACTTGTTTTTAAAAAACTAAAATCAAATCTGGGAAACCTCGGATCTTCAGAGTTCAGGTTTTTATGTCCGTATAACGTAACATAAATCAGTAGAAATAAATATTATCAATTTTATTTTGAACATTTATTTTTCTTTCATAAATATGATAGTATGGGGGTTCAGAAATCTCTTAAATTATACTCTCGGCCAAGAAGTTGTCTTAATACAAATGAAATGGGTAATTTCCTAGAGAACAATATATGGACCCCCGCCCCCCCCCCCCCC